CATGACTTCTCTACTGCCCCACTCCACCATGACTCATCTAATGCCCCACTCCACCATGACTTCTCTACTGCCCCACTCCACCATGACTTCTCTACTGCCCCACTCCACCATGACTCATCTAATGCCCCACTCCACCATGACTTCTCTACTGCCCCACTCCACCATGACTTCTCTACTGCCCCACTCCACCATGACTTCTCTACTGCCCCACTCCACCATGACTTCTCTACTGCCCCACTCCACCATGACTTCTCTACTACCCCACTCCACCATGACTTCTCTACTGCCCTACTCCACCATGACTTCTCTACTGCCTTACTCTACCATGACTTCTCTACTGCCCCACTCCACCATGACTTCTCTACTGCCCCACTCCACCATGACTTCTCTATGCCCCACTCCACCCTGACTTCTCTATCGCCCCACTCCACCATGACTTCTCTACTGCCCCACTTCACCATGACTCATCTAATGCCCCACTCCACCATGACTTCTCTACTGCCCCACTCCACCATGACTTCTCTACTGCCCCACTCCACCATGACCTCTACTGCCCCACTCCACCATGACTTCTCTATCGCCCCACTCCACCATGACTTCTCTATCGCCCCACTCCACCATGACTTCTCTACTGCCCCACTCCACCATGACTTCTCTACTGCCCCACTCCACCATGACTCATCTAATGCCCCACACCACCATGACTTCTCTACTGCCCCACTCCACCATGACTTCTCTACTGCCCCACTCCACCATGACTTCTCTACTGCCCCACTCCACCATGACTCATCTAATGCCCCACTCCACCATGACTTCTCTACTGCCCCACTCCACCATGACTTCTCTACTGCCCCACTCCACCATGACTTCTCTACTGCCCCACTCCACCATGACTTCTCTACTACCCCACTCCACCATGACTTCTCTACTGCCCCACTCCACCATGACTTCTCTACTGCCCCACTCAACCATGACTCATCTAATGCCCCACTCCACCATGACTTCTCTACTGCCCCACTTCACCATGACTTCTCTACTGCCCTACTCCACCATGACTTCTCTACTGCCCCACTCCACCATGACTTCTCTACTGCCCCACTCCACCATGACTTCTCTACTGCCCCACTCCACCCTGACTTCTCTACTGCCCCACTCCACCATGACTCATCTAATGCCCCACTCCACCATGACTTCTCTACTACCCCACTCCACCATGACTTCTCTACTGCCCCACTCCACCATGACTTCTCTACTGCCCTACTCCACCATGACTTCTCTACTGCCCTACTCCACCATGACTTCTCTACTGCCCTACTCCACCATGACTTCTCTACTGCCCTACTCCACCATGACTTCTCTACTGCCCTACTCCACCCCTGATGCTGTACTTCATTATATCTTTCAGCTGGACCAGACAAGAGGCAATCGATTATTTTATAAACAACACGGCCGAGTCGCTCGCAGGCATGTAGAATTACATTCATCATCAAATCTAGTTCTATGAATTAGCTTCAAGCACTTTAAAATTCTTTGCACTAGTATGTTGAAATATAAGATACGAAGAAAAGTGAACTGCACTCAGGTGAAACAGGCTTGTCAAATAGAAACTCACTATTTCAGGTGTGGAGGTTGAGGTGGATCGCTACATCACCTGGCCGGGACAGGCAGTTGCGTATAAAATCGGCGAACTCAAGATACGAGCGCTGAGAGAACTTGCAGAAAAACAACTGGGTAATGACTTTTTGGTACTCAACATTTTATCGTTTCTTAAGAACTTTGTTAATTTAACTTTCATTACAGATCATGTCTAGACTAGAATGTAGGAGAAACGGAATGAACCCCCTTTTTACTTTATCGTATGTACGAAAAATAGAAAAAGGATAGTAATCGTGCAAAAAATAAATAAATCAAGATTTTTGCAAATCTCGACGTTTTACACCTCCCTGAGTCGAAAAAACATAGTTTTGCAATCTTGTCCGTATGTCTGTGTGTGTGTATGTGTGTGTGTGTGCCTGTGTGTGTCTGTAAACATGATAACTTAAGTACCGTTACAGCTAGGTTGATGAAATTTCATATATAAGTATTATATCAAAATCGTAGATCCGTATCAACTTTTGAGAAATTTCCGATAACCGGAAGTGGAACTTCCTATAAGTTGAGTACTATTTCAGATAGATAAATGAAATTTTACATGTAAGTAAAAGATCTAATTCTCTGCCTTCTGTGAAATTTTGAGTAATTTCCAATGACCGGAAGTAGTAATTTACGCTATTTCCGATTTCTCAAATTAGTACTTTATAAAGTACTAATAATATTCCGCTCTATTATGCACAATTTTTTTGGCGTTCATTTGGTATGCAATTTTTTTTCTACGATATTTTATTTTATTTTAAAAAGTTTAAGTATTTAAAATGGATTAAAAATCATGTCTATATCCCGAGTCGACATCCGCTGTTGTTTTATATAAGAATATTCGAGAAAGCTTAGGGGAGATCACTCCCGGTTTATTTTAAAAAGCATACTACGGAAACAACGTGTTTATAAGCAAAATAATGATTCTGTGCAACATAATGGCAGCCAAATCTTGTTTACTTTCAGGTGCGTTGTTTGATGTGCGTAACTTTCACATGGTGGTGTTGAAAAATGGTGCAGTTCCGTTACATATATTGGAGTCTCAGGTGAAAGAATGGATCTCAAACGTTGAGAAGGGTCACGATAGTTCTGAGGATTGTGACTGTAGTACCACGGAGCCGGAAGCCGCTTCACGGTGTCGTAGGTCAGCGCCACACAGCGGTGGTCTACCTATACATGCGTTAAGCCTAGCACACGCCATTGTTATCTGTGTGCCTTATTTCTCTTTGATGTATTTACACCTATCAGATTCCCCCCTCCCATTTAGCAGCCCTCATTAAGGTCTAGTATATCCTCTGCTGTAATATAACTCTAGTAGACCCCATCTGTAATATAGATCTAGTAGACCCCAGTTGTAATATAGATCTAGTAGACCCCAGTTGTAATATAGATCTAGTAGACCCCAGTTGTAATATAGATCTAGTAGACCCCCAGTTGTAATATAGATCTAGTAGACCCCCAGTTGTAATATAGACCTAGTAGACCCCAGTTGTAATATAGATCTAGTAGACCCCAGTTGTAATATAGATCTAGTAGACCCCAGTTGTAATATAGATCTAGTAGACCCCAGTTGTAATATAGATCTAGTAGACCCCAGTTGTAATATAGATCTAGTAGACCCCAGTTGTAATATAGATATCTAGTAGACCCCAGTTGTAACATAGATCTAGTAGACCCCAGTTGTAATATAGATCTAGTACCCCCCCCCCCCCAGCTGTAGATCTTGTAGGGGACGTCCATAAATGACGTCTCACTCGGAGGGGGTAGGGGGGTCCGTAATTTTGTGATGGTGTGTGATGAGGGGGAGGGGGGAGGAGTTCAAATGGTGTTACGTCACACTTTAGCATTATAAAAAATGCAATGTTAGAAATAAATTGTAAAAGGAATTGATCAAAATACTCTATATTGACAGAGTTCTGACAAGATTTTGGAAAAATATCAATGTTTTAAGAAAAATTCAACAGCAATTTTGAGGGGGGTTGTAGGCTGAGGTGTGACGTCATTTTAGGGGAGGGGGTCTGGCTTTTTGTGATGACGTGTGATGGAGGGGAGGGGGGGTAAAAATCGTTTAAAAAAGCGTGACGTCATGTATGGATGACCCCTAGTCTCACAGTTAATGACCAGGAATGACATGGACGTGTTTATGAAAAGGCTTTAAATAAATACATTTCACATTTTTACTCAAGTAACTTCATCTTACTTTAAATGTTTGAACAACATACGGTTGTAGCTAAGATACTATAGCAATATGGTTTTCTTAAAGTTTATTGTTTAGTTTAGTTGGTTCAACTACTCAAAGAGTTTCACTGTTGTCGTCTTATATTTGTTACACATGATGCTATTGATGGAATTTTTAAAATAAAAGTAATACATTAAAATATGAACTAAATACAGTTGTTGATTCAAACATAAGCTTAAATCTAACACAGTCTTAAATATTCCTGCATCTCTATTAACATGTGTGGCTACACAGAGGGAAACATCACAAACCTCCACTGTCTTGTGGCTACACAGAGGGAAACATCACAAACCTCCACTGTCTTGTGGCTACACAGAGGGAAACATCACAAACCTCCACTGTCTTGTGGCTACACAGAGGGAAACATCACAAACCTCCACTGTCTTGTGGCTACACAGAGGGAAACATCACAAACCTCCACTGTCTTGTGGCTACACAGAGGGAAACATCACAAACCTCCACTGTCTTGTGGCTACACAGAGGGAAACATCACAAACCTCCACTGTCTTGTGGCTACACAGAGGGAAACACAAACTTCCACTGTCTTGTGGCTACACAGAGGGAAACATCACAAACTTCCACTGTCTTGTGGCTACACAGAGGGAAACATCACAAACTTCCACTGTCTTGTGGCTACACAGAGGGAAACATCACAAACCTCCACTGTCTTGTGGCTACACAGAGGGAAACATCACAAACCTCCACTGTCTTGTGGCTACACAGAGGGAAACATCACAAACCTCCACTGTCTTGTGGCTACACAGAGGGAAACATCACAAACCTCCACTGTCTTGTGGCTACACAGAGGGAAACATCACAAACCTCCACTGTCTTGTGGCTACACAGAGGGAAACATCACAAACTTCCACTGTCTTGTGGCTACACAGAGGGAAACATCACAAACTTCCACTGTCTTGTGGCTACACAGAGGGAAACATCACAAACTTCCACTGTCTTGTGGCTACACAGAGGAAAACATCACAAACCTCCACTGTTAACCCCCACACTTTTGTGTTATTACACTGTAGGACATAGGCCTACTAACCCTACTTCATAGATTTAACTGAAACAGAATCGACTCGACAAAAATAACTAGTTGTTATTGCAATAAAAAAAATATAAGGCCATAAAGCTTTCATACAATTTTATTTCAACTGGAAATTATTTTCTGCTTAACTCCCCTCCCCCAACTATTATATTTTCAGCTTTAGAAAACGTGAAATATACTTAATGGTAAAAACACAATCATGAGTTGGGTTTTAATCTCATTAAGTGCTGGCACGATAATGAGTTTGTCTCATTAAGTGCTGGCATAAATGAAGAGCAGGGTGCTAGCAGCACCTGTCCCTCCCACCAGATCTTGTGGACGCCTGTCTTTAACATAGTTGGCAGCAGCCTCAGCGTGGCTGGCGTCCAGTGGTGCCATAGCCGCGTGACAGAACACTTGCCAGCCCTGCAGATAGAAGAAACTGTCATAGCTAGAGATCTACAATCACATTGTCAGGAACATTTGATCAGACTTGACCGAACCATGAGGTTTGATTCAATGGTCAAATTCAATGGTCAAATGATCAGACTTGACTAAACCATGAGATTTGATTCAATGGTCAAATGATCAGACTTGACCAAACCATGAGATTTGATTCAATGGTCAAATGATCAGACTTGACCAAACCATGAGATTTGATTCAATGGTCAAATGATCAGACTTGACTAAACCATGAGATTTGATTCAATGGTCAAATGATCAGACTTGACCAAACCATGAGATTTGATTCAATGGTCAAATGATCAGACTTGACTAAACCATGAGATTTGATTCAATGGTCAAATGATCAGACTTGACCAAACCATGAGATTTGATTCAATGGTCAAATGATCAGACTTGACCAAACCCATGAGATTTGATTCAATGGTCAAATGATCAGACTTGACCAAACCATGAGATTTGATTCAATGGTCAAATGATCAGACTTGACCAAACCCATGAGATTTGATTCAATGGTCAAATGATCAGACTTGACCAAACCCATGAGATTTGATTCAATGGTCAAATGATCAGACTTGACCAAACCATGAGATTCGATTCAATGGTCAAATGATCAGACTTGACTAAACCATGAGATTTGATTCAATGGTCAAATGATCAGACTTGACTAAACTCATGAGTTTCCCCACACATGCTATAAACGGGTGTGCTAAATGTTATAAATACAGCGAATAGTTTTATTAAAATATGTTACTTACAATCCCAAGGGGTCGAGAGAGATCAGCTGTCTTTTCTGCTATGGAATAAGATGGGTTCGAACTTGGATTTATTGCAGACTCACATGTATGTTGAATACTTCCAGCCCATTCCTTAACAAAATATTTTGACCAATAATTTTCTTTTAAATCAACAAGGAGCTGTCAGTTTTAAATCATCAAAAGAAACATAAAAAGTGCTAGACAAAGTGCTAGACAAAGTGCTAGACAAAGTGCTAGACAAAGTGCTAGACATGTCCAAGTGTCCAACGAACCTGATCCATCCAGTACTTGGACACAGACGTGATGGGGATGACCTGGATGCCCACCAGACAACCATGACGCTGGGGGAAGATGTTCGGATCACACGGCCAATTCAGAGTGTACGCGTAGAAGTCTGGTTCTGTTATCATCCCAACCACACCAAAGTTTTGGAGAATTGGAGGAAACTGGTTCCGATTATGAGAGCGCACCTGAAAGGTTCGAACCAGTTAGATAGGTACATTGGCAAGTTTATGTTGGATTGACAAGTTAGTGCTGCTGAATATGTTGGCAAGTTTGTTGGATAGACAAGTTAGTGCTGCTGAATATGTTGGCAAGTTTGTTGGATAGACAAGTTAGTGCTGCTGAATATGTTGGCAAGTTTGTTGGATAGACAAGTTAGTGCTGCTGAATATGTTGGCAAGTTTGTTGGATAGACAAGTTAGTGCTGCTGAATATGTTGGCAAGTTTGTTGGATAGACAAGTTAGTGCTGCTGAATATGTTGGCAAGTTTATGATGAATGGACAAGTTAGTGCTGCTGAATATGTTGGCAAGTTTATGTTGGATAGACAAGTTAGTGCTGCTGAATATGTTGGCAAGTTTGTTGAATAGACAAGTTAGTACTGCTGAATACAGTTTTGAGTGTTCTTACTTCAAAATAGACCATTAGGATACCATATATTATTCCCTCATAGTTGATCTATGTGATTTATAAACACTCCGTTAATCCTTTACAGAATAAACTGCCACCCAATTTCCGTATAACTGAGTTTTAGGATACTACACAGTGTCTCATTTTCTACTGAGACAAAAGCCTACCTGCCAGTATTCACGAACAGATGCCACTTCCATCGCTAGTAAAATCTGGCCAGTTTGTCTCATATTATGATCGTTGAATGCATCTCCAAGAGCAGCTAATCCATGATAACAATTGATACCCTAGAGAAAAATATAATTCGAGAACTTAAACACAAACTGTAGTCGTGCTTTTGGGGATCGCATACATTTCTCCGAGTACTTGGTTCACTGTTGCAACAATCAGTGGGTGTCGAGTTAATTCTCGTTATTTAGAGCGCTAAATTATGTTTTATCAACAACAAAAACAGTTGTGTATCGAGCTGAAAGAGCTGACGGATCACCTCAGACGCTGACTCTTCTTGTCGAACTCCTGGCACCAAGCCGGAGGCCCACGAGAAGCCGGTGTATAAATCCTTTTGTCTGGAGACCGGGAAGTAGGGATCTTTAGGGCTGGGGTTGCCAACGTCCCTGGCTAGGGCATAAATGGCGGCCTTGTGAGCTGAAAGTTAACAGGTGCAAGTTTTTAAAGCAGTCAATTTCTTTGTCAAGTCTCGAGAAAATAAGTTTTTAAATCATCATATTTGTACTCCAAATTCAGTTTAAAAACAAATTGGACTATTAGAAATATTTTTAAAAATTTAAAATGCACACCAAAAAACAAACTGTAAATGATTAAAACACGATTACAGTCAATTGCGTAACTAGCAATTGGTCATGGGAGTTCTATTTTTCCATATATATATAATACAGACAGGCAGGCAGACAGACAGACATTTAGTACATTTACTATGATGGTGTAAGCAGTAATGTATCCTATCGAACCGTAATGTTCATGGGGCAGGTAAGGTAGAGTTAATCTGTTTCAGGGACTTCGGCTGTTGGGATAGTGTAGTCAGCACAATGCTCAGCCGCCTTTACTTTCCCAATAGAACTGGGTTAATGCCCGAACTAGAGGCTACCTTTTGACCACTCTGTCCCCTTTATGAGATAAACCATGGTCCACCCACTTACTGGGTATCAGTAGAAAAAATTATTTCAAAAAGTATATGGCTGTAATCCACCCAGCTGCCGCGGACAGGGTACCAAATATGTTAGCGGGGACGGGTTAAGAAAGTAACTGGTATTGATAACATCTTTATAGAAGAGGGGCGGTCCATGGGAGGGGTTATAATCCTACATTACCCCCCCCCCCACCGCCAACGCCAATTATTACAATTCGTAATTAAAACATTAAAATAGTTGAAATATTCTATCTAAATATACATGCAAACAAAGGGAAACGAGCTAAAAGAAAGGTGGCATACAGACAAGCTACTACTTTGTTATACCGTTTCCCCAGCTGCGGTTGTGTTTAACGTAATATGCCAGGGCGTAGATGAAGTAGCCTAAATGAAAGTGGTGGTCATTGTAGTAGGGGAAACCGTAATCCACTCCCCAGTCGATGCCAGAATCTCCTGTGGCTCTAAGAAAGAGCCCGCCCCACACGTCATCGTAATGGAACTTCCACATGTCATCAAGTGTATCTGGTCAAGGAGACAATAAAACATGGTAGCTGGTCAAGGAGACAATAAAACATGGTAGCTGGTCAAGGAGACAATAAAACATGGTAGCTGGTCAAGGAGACAATAAAACATGGTAGCTGGTCAAGGAGACAATAAAACATGGTAGCTGGTCAAGGAGACAATAAAACATGGTAGCTGGTCAAGGAGACAATATAACATGGTAGCTGGTCAAGGAGACAATAAAACATGGTAGCTGGTCAAGGAGACAATAAAACATGGTAGCTGGTCAAGGAGACAATATAACATGGTAGCTGGTCAAGGAGACAATAAAACATGGTAGCTGGTCAAGGAGACAATAAAACATGGTAGCTGGTCAAGGAGACAATAAAACATGGTAGCTGGTCAAGGAGACAATAAAACATGGTAGCTGGTCAAGGAGACAATAAAACATGGTAGCTGGTCAAGGAGACAATAAAACATGGTAGCTGGTCAAGGAGACAATAAAACATGGTAGCTGGTCAAGGAGACAATAAAACATGGTTACATGACTAATAATTTAGGTTTCTTAAAGAAATGTACACACAAAAATCCTAATTAGACACACGTTCTGACCTTGTATTCTAAGCCATTTCTCCAGACAGTTTTTGAGTGAGTTTTCTAGCTTAGTGTAGTGGTTCGTGTTAAACGCCCTGGACAAACTAGCCAATCTTGTCACCATTCCTAGACCTTTTCCACCATTGTAGCTGTCTGTATGCTCACATATAGCGTCCAGGTTTTCATTCTGTGCATCCCTGTCTATAGCTGCTAGAATGTTCTGAATAAGAAACGAACATTAGTTAAATTCAGTGTTATGAGGTTTGTTTCAGGCAAATCTACACGCGTGTGTGTTCCCGTTTCGACACATCTAAGTGAACTCTCACTCATCGAGACTTAAACAAAGTTTAGATTTGACTTTTTTTTTAGCAATAGCATGGAAACATACAAGGCTGTGAGAAAGAAACAATAAACAATAGCCACAAATATTCTTCAGTTCACCACCCTCTTCTCACAACCCCAATTTCACCATTTGCTTCTACAGACTGTTAAGTGACACCTTCCAGCCAGTCCATCTAGATAGACCCCATCAACTTTTCCAACCAGTCCATCTAGATAGACCCCATCAACTTTTCCAGCTAACCCATCTAGATAGACCCCATCAACATTTCCAACCAGTCCATCTAGATAGACCCCATCAACATTTCCAGCCAGTCCATCTAGCTAGACCCCATCAACTTTTTCAGCCAGCCCATCTAGATAGACCCCATCAACTTTTCCAGCCAGCCCATCTAGATAGACCCCATCAACTTTTCCAGCCAGTCCATCTAGCTAGACCCCATCAACTTTTCCAGCCAGCCCATCTAGCTAGACCCCATCAACTTTTCCATCCAGTCCATCTAGATAGACCCCATCAACTTTTCCAGCCAGTCCATCTAGCTAGACCCCATCAACTTTTCCAGCCAGCCCATCTAGCTAGACCCCATCAACTTTTCCATCCAGTCCATCTAGATAGACCACATCAACTTTTCCAGCCAGCCCATCTAGCTAGACCCCATCAACTTTTCCATCCAGTCCATCTAGATAGACCCCATCAACTTTTCCAGCCAGTCCATCTAGCTAGACCCCATCAACTTTTCCAGCCAGCCCATCTAGATAGACCCCATCAACTTTTCCATCCAGTCCATCTAGATAGACCCCATCAACTTTTCCAGCCAGTCCATCTAGCTAGACCCCATCAACTTTTCCAGCCAGCCCATCTAGCTAGACCCCATCAACTTTTCCATCCAGTCCATCTAGATAGACCACATCAACTTTTCCAGCCAGCCCATCTAGCTAGACCCCATCAACTTTTCCATCCAGTCCATCTAGATAGACCCCATCAACTTTTCCAGCCAGCCCATCTAGCTAGACCCCATCAACTTTTCCAGCCAGCCCATCTAGCTAGACCCCATCAACTTTTCCAGCCAGCCCATCTAGATAGACCCCATCAACTTCTCCATCCATAATTTATTGACAATACTAATGTCAACTAGAAACTCAAGTTTGACCTTTGAACTCTCACACATACAAATGGCTGGAAGGCAAACCTGCAGTTGTGTTGGGTTGGCCTTGACCCTTTCAACAGCCTGTGGATCTGGATCAACTGGAGTGTGTAGAACGTCGTAGTCCATCAGCCAGTCATTGCCCTCATAGCCTTTGAAAAAAAATGGCGTGCTGACGATCTTGTCAGGGTGGGATTTTGTCAGAATGATGGCCTGCAAGGATCATGACAAAATGTTTGAAGCTGCGAATAAGACATGGCGAGCTAATCACGTGACCCTCTACTCGTTCTATTGGCCACATGGCTGGAATACAAGGTAGAACTCTTCGAATAATTCAAAACTCTCACTCTATCTAAAGTGAGTAGCTTCTCATATTGAGTAAACAATTTCAATAAATAAAAATAGGTTACTGGACATCAAAGTTCTGCTATAGCAAGTCTATCTGCTTGAACAAAATGTAGGCTATAGGGGAGGATTAAGCTAGGAATCAATTATTGATACATTTTGTATTGAGATGATTTAAACAAACATATAACTAGATTTTGATTGTGTTTTGTATTGGAATGGTTGAAACAAACATATAACTAGATTTTGATGGTGTTTTGTATTGGAATGGTTGAAACAAACATATAACTAGATTTTAATTATGTTTTGTATTGGAATTGTTGAAACAAACATATAACTAGATTTTGATTGTGTTTTGTATTGGAATTGTTGAAACAAACATATAACTAGATTTTGATTGTGTTTTGAATTGGAATGGTTGAAACAAACATATAACTAGATTTTGATTGTGTTTTGTATTGGAATGGTTGAAACAAACATATAACTAGATTTTGATTGTGTTTTGTATTGGAATGGTTGAAACAATCATATAACTAGATTTTGATTGTGTTTTGTATGGGAATGGTTGAAACAATCATATAACTAGATTTTGATTGTGTTTTGTATGTGAATGGTTGAAAGAAACAGCCCGTAAAACTCACCTGGTGCGGCATGGGAACCATGAGCAAAGTTCCTGCCGTAGCAGGAGAACCTGAAGCATCCACTGTGTTCCAGTCAAAGCTGACGTAGCCTTTGTTTCGAGCGTCACTAACGCAGTATTTGACTTGAGGCTTGTAGGCATACACGCCAGCGTATTTGTCGAAGAAGTTGATCTGAGAACCATCCCCTCGTGGCGATGACCCGGCGTAGGCTACCTGAAGTAGACCACTGTACTGACCGCCTCCGGGGGGTGAAAAGGTGATATCACCTTGATTGATTGCTGCGATTACAGGTGAGGAGAAGTAGAGAAGAAATTTTCGACTCCTGTCGGGTAGATCTGTTCCAGGCTCCCTCAACTCCAGGACAAACTTGGTGTTGGCCTGTGCGATGTCCCCAGTGTTGTACCCATAATTCACTGGGCCAGAGGTCACCAGATTTGGTGCTTGTGTACCCTGGGGATTTACAGCAGCATCACCATCTGTGAGGACCGAGCCATCACATTTCCCCTGGTACGGATGTTCCAGCCACCCTGATCTAGGGAGCGTTGTAACTCCGATCAAATTGACGGCAAATCTGGCTGACAAAAACATTGGGTTAGGGTATGGCTTGGTCTTAGTTTGATTTGGGGGGGGGGGGGGATATTTATCTACGTACAGCCTACACATCGAAAAAATATTTGTCTACGTACAGCCTACACGTTGAAAAAATATTTGACTACATACAGCCTACACAACGAAAAAATATTTGACTACATACAGCCTACACAACGAAAAAATATTTGACTACATACAGCCTACACAACGAAAAAATATTTGACTACATACAGCCTACACAACGAAAAAATATTTCATTTTTGCATTTTAAAGAAGTCAGAGAGCCTACAAATATTGCTTATATAAGTCTGAGATCTGAAGGCGAATGGACATTGGCCTAAACCTTGCGACTAAAACTATCAGTCTGTATCTAAGACCTCAACAAGTAACCACAGTCTTTCATATTTCAATATAATATTGTAAATAAAAGTCGTCGAAAGCAGCCCGAGAGAACCGAACAAATAATGTGTGGTTATGGCAAACTTTTAACTGGTCTAAACTGACCGTAGGCAATATTTCTCTAAATGAACATAGACAACTTTCCTGAAAAAAAAATATCGAAAGTTTCCAGCGAATGCTGAGGATACTTAAGGAAATTTGGATGACTTATAGTTTTTATGGAAATAGTGAATGACTTTTAAGCCTCTCAGAAATATAAAGCGTAGCTTATACGACCTCACTAAGGGTAAAAACTGACAAGTAGTGATGACAACCTTCTTTAAATCTGTACATTAAATATTTTTATTTCAACCGATTTAACTACGTGGTGTCGTAGATGGCAGCATCAAGAAACACGAGCAAATAGAAACTCTGTACATCTGACTAAAGACATTTATATAAAAGAAAATTGCAACGGACGCGCCTTTTTCCAAATAATTCTATGGAGGGTTAGATTAGTGTTCAAGCTTCTTTATGTTTATGCGGAGATAGGTTTTATGCTAGCCAATCAAAAAATTATGGATAACAGGAGAAGTATACAGAGGCGTAGCGACCCTTCCCGGCGCCCGGGGACAAACTTTTCGATTTGCACCCCCCCCCCCTCGAGATTTTTATTTGCACTTCCCCCCCCCCCCCTCAAACTTTCGATTTGCACCCCCCCTCGAGATTTTCATTTGCACCCCCCCCCTCAAACTTTCGATTTGCACCCCCCTCAACCTTTCAATTTTTTTTCCAACCCATTTTGGCGCCCCCTAAGGTCGGCGCCCGGGGACATATGTCCCCCTCGCTACGCTACTAGAAGTATATTACATGTACAATATCTGAGACTTACATGTTAAACATCGATAATCAGAGACATATTACATGTACAATATGGACGATCAGAGACATATATTATGTGTACAAAATGGACGATCAGAGACATATATTATGTGTACAATATGGACGATAAGGGACAGATATTATGTGTACAATATGGACGATAAAGGACATATATTATGTGTACAATATGGACGATCAGAGACATATATTATGTGTACAAAATGGACGATCAGAGACATATATTATGTGTACAAAATGGACGATAAGGGACATATATTATGTGTACAATATGGACGATCAGAGACATATATTATGTGTACAAAATGGACGATCAGAGACATATATTATGTGTACAATATGGACGATAAGGGACATATATTATGTGTACAAAATGGACGATAAGGGACAGATATTATGTGTACAATATGGACGATCAGAGACATATATTATGTGTACAATATGGACGATCAGAGACATATATTATGTGTACAATATGGACGATAAGGGACATATATTATGTGTACAAAATGGACGATAAAGGACATATATTATGTGTACAATATGGACGATAAGGGACAGATATTATGTGTACAATATGGACGATCAGAGACATATATTATGTGTACAAAATGGACGATAAGGGACATATATTATGTGTACAATATGGACGATAAGGGACATATATTATGTGTACAATATGGACGATAAGGGACAGATATTATGTGTACAATATGGACGATCAGAGACATATATTATGTGTACAATATGGACGATCAGAGACATATATTATGTGTACAATATGGACGATAAGGGACATATATTATGTGTACAATATGGACGATCAGAGACATATATTATGTGTACAATATGGACGATAAAGGACATATATTATGTGTACAATATGGACGATAAGGGACATATATTATGTGTACAATATGGACGATAAAAACATATATTATGTGTACAATATGGACGATCAGAGACATATATTATGTGTACAATATAGACGATAAGGGACATATATTATGTGTACAATATGGACGATAAGGAACATATATTATGTGTACAATATGGACGATCAGAGACATATATTATGTGTACAATATAGACGATAAGGGACATATATTATGTGTACAATATGGACGATAAGGAACATATATTATGTGTACAATATAACTCTCTGGATTTGTTTGAACTCACTTGAAGTCGTTGGACGGGGCCTTGACCTTCATGGTAACCTGATTCCCAACGTGTTGGCACTGTGCAGGTGAACATGTGTGCATACCTGGTGTGAAGCCACCCACCCAGGCAGAAGCGGTTTCTAGCGCATATTGAAACTGTCGACAGACAGGGATTTGGTTCATTTAGTGCAAACGAAATACAATTTCTGGGGCGCAATAAACATTTCTGTGACGGGGAGAGGGAGGCGGACACTTATTAGTGTATATATTTTGTATAAACAGTATACATTTGTTCAAATACTCTTTACTCGGGTTATATAATATATTGTTTTTTTTCATTTGTAAATGATAAAGCCTTATCTCTAAAAGATTTAGTCCTTAAAGTTTATCTTTTATCACAAGCTTTTATTTAACTTGGTTCCTTCCCCCGAGCCCTGGGTGCCAAATCGATACCTGTCGGTAGTGGACGGTCAATCGATTTAGTAAACGAATATAGTAGACTAGACCAACGTATCCATAGTGTATCGCGCTGTTAAAACAAAACGCCATAGTGCTAACACAAAAGCCTGCGGCTCCAAATCAGATACTGCCGATTTAGTCAACAAACGTAGACGCAATAATGCTTACATAGGAGTCCGGCGCTCCGCGTCAATCAACTTCCGGGTCGCCTGCGGATGCACCTGGTGCAGTTTTACCGTTGAATCAAGTAGTACCACTGACCGGCTCTGCAGGACGCCCAATCAACGGATGCCATATGATTAGATAGCGGCTCGAGTACTCTAGGCGCCCTAAGCAGCCCTTCCTAAATTTTAGTTTTTTTATTTCGCAGAAACCTTTTTTTGAGTATATATTATTAACAACTTCGTAAGGTTTCATTTCAATCGGATGAAAGCTTCAGTAATTCATAAAGGACACATAGAAAATTATAATTTAATTCTTATATATATATATATATATATATATATATATATATATATATATATATATATATATATATATATATATATATATATATATATGGCTACAGTACATTACCCCCCAGGATATTTCCCCTGTATTTCCCCCCTGTCATTTCCCCTTGTCAATTACCCCCTGGGGAATTACCCCCCCCCCCCCACCCATCCACCAAGATAGAATCCTGATTCTAACTCTAACTCTATACCTATACAGTACCATAATTCTAACCTTAAGACAAATACGAAAAACCTAAGAATTCACATCACCCTAAATTTAACCCAAAACCAAACCCAACTCTAGACATTGATTTAACCTTAACCCTAACCCTAACCCTAGACCTAGCCCAAACTCAAACCGTAGCTCTAACCCTAGCTGAACCTTAAGCTATGACCGGGGGGGGGGGGGTAATGTCCTACTGGGCGGGGGATAATTGACAGGGGGTAATTACTTCGGGAGGTAATTACGGGGGGATGTCGGGGGGTGGGGTAATTGACGGGGGGGGGGGGGTAATGCCCTGTTCCCATATATATATATATATATATATATATATATATATATATATAATTACATTGACGGGGGGGGGGTAATGCCCTGTTCCCATATATATATATATATATATATATATATATATATATATATATATATATATATATATATATATATATATATATATATATATATATATATAATTACATGGTCTATTCCTGGAAAAGGTTCAGTTCCCAAGTCGACAGTGACTGTTAAGTCTAGTGACGTAGTACAGGTTGCACTTAAGGTGACGTCACCTGGCGCCCTGTGACTAACTGCTCGCTTGGCTGTGCAGGTTGTCTCCCCTGGGTGGTTGGTCCAGTCGGAAGGAACAAGGTAGTGGCCGATGTAGTTGACGGCGTAGTTCATCACACCTGAGTGGTCGGTCCAAATAGTTCAGTCAATACAACATATATCACACCTGAGTGGTCGGTCCAAATAGTTCAGTCAATACAACATATATCACACCTGAGTGGTCGGTCCAAATAGTTCAGTCAATACAACATATATCACACCTGAGTGGTCGGTCCAAATAGTTCAGTCAATACAACATATATCACACCTGAGTGGTCGGTCCAAATAGTTCAGTCAATACAACATATATCACACCTGAGTGGTCGGTCCTAATAGTTCAGTCAATACAACATATATCACACCTGAGTGGTCGGTCCAAATAGTTCAGTCAATACAACATATATCACACCTGAGTGGTCGGTCCAAATAGTTCAGTCAATACAACATATATCACACCTGAGTGGTCGGTCCAAATAGTTCAGTCAATACAACATATATCACACCTGAGTGGTCGGTCCAAATAGTTCAGTCAATACAACATATATCACACCTGAGTGGTCGGTCCTAATAGTTCAGTCAATACAACATATATCACACCTGAGTGGTCGGTCCAAATAGTTCAGTCAATACAACATATATCACACCTGAGTGGTCGGCCCAAATAGTTCAGTCAATACAACATATATCACGCCTGAGTGGTCGGCCCAAATAGTTCAGTCAATACAACATATATCACACCTGAGTGGTCGGTCCAAATAGTTCAGTCAATACAACATGTATCACACCTGAGTGGTCGGTCCAAATAGTTCAGTCAATACAACATATATCACACCTGAGTGGTCGGCCCAAATAGTTCAGTCAATACAACATATATCACACCTGAGTGGTCGGTCCAAATAGTTCAGTCAATACAACATATATCACACCTGAGTGGTCGGTCCAAATAGTTCAGTCAATACAACATATATCACACCTGAGTGGTCGGTCCAAATAGTTCAGTCAATATATGACATTAACTGACACTACAACATCTGACATTAACTGACATATGAATACAACATGTGCTATTAACTGACAAAATGATTTGTTGACGGACAAAATGAACTTTTAACAGACACGTGTATTCACAAGAGATTTGAACCTGATGAATTGGGGATTCGAATTTTGATCGTCTTCCCGCCATCTTGAGCAGTGCAATGCGAATCGTCACATGTTCGCATGAATGTCCTTCCCCAGTTACTCTTAGGGTCTGCCGCCCACTGGGATAAAAAGACATTTGAAAATGAAATGTGTACACCCTTAACCATAACAAACAACATGTAATCTTTAGTGTACACCCTTAACCATAACAAACAACATGTAATCTTTAGTGCACACCCTTAACCATAACAAACAACATGTCATCTTTAGTGTACACGCTTAACCATAACAAACAACATGTCATCTTTAGTGTATACCCTTAACCATAACAAACATGTCATCTTTAGTGTACACCCTTAACCATAACAAACAACATGTAATCTTTAGTGTACACCCTTAACCATAACAAACAACATGTAATCTTTAGACATTCTACACCTTCCTAGCGCTTCGGCAAGCTGTTACATCACTCATTTGTCCATTTGCTTGATTATATTATCATTCTAAAAGAAAAGGTCAATCAGTTTACCAATATACAGTCAGATGTATAGAGTGGACGGTCTCGCTGTTTACAGTTGCATTGGGCCAAATGTCTTGTTCCCCACTACCACTGGTCTAATGTCTTGTTCCCCACTGGACAAATGTCTTGTTCCCCACTGGTCTAATGTCTTGTTACCCACTGGACAAACGTCTTGTTCCCCTCTGGACAATGTCATGTTCCCCACTGGACAAATGTCTTGTTCCCCACTGGACAAATGTCTTGTTCCCCACTGGACAAATGTCTTGTTCCCCACTGGACAAATGTCTTGTTCCCCACTGGGCATATGTCTTGTTCCCCACTGGACAAATGTCTTGTTCCCCATCGGACAAATATCTTGTTCCCCACTGGACAAATGTCTTGTTCCCCACTGGACAAATGTCTTGTTCCCCACTGGACAAATGTCTTGTTCCCAATCGGACAAATATCTTGTTCCCCACTGGACAAATGTCTTGTTCCCCACTGGACAAATGTCTTGTTCCCCACTGGACAAATATCTTGTTCCCCACTGGACAAATGTCTTGTTCCCCACTGGGCAAATGTCTTGTTCCCCACTGGACAAATATCTTGTTCCCCACTGGACAAATGTCTTGTTCCCCACTGGACAAATGTCTTGTTGCCCACTGGACAAATGTCTTGTTCCCCACTGGACAAATATCTTGTTCCCCACTGGACAAATGTCGTGTTCCCCACTGGACAAATATCTTGTTCCCCACTGGACAAATATCTTGTTCCCCACTGGACAAATATCTTGTTCCCCACTGGGCATATGTCTTGTTCCCCACTGGACAAATGTCTTGTTCCCCACTGGGCAAATGTCTTGTTCCCCACTGGACAAATGTCGTGTTCCCCACTGGACAAATATCTTGTTCCCCACTGGACAAATATCTTGTTCCCCACTGGACAAATATCTTGTTCCCCACTGGACAAATATCTTGTTCCCCACTGGACAAATATCTTGTTCCCCACTGGGCAAATGTCTTGTTCCCCACTGGACAATGTCATGTTCCCCACTGGGCAAATGTCATGTTCCCCACTGGACAATGTCATGTTCCCCACTGGGCAAATGTCATGTTCCCCACTGGACAAATGTCTTGTTCCCCACTGGGCTAATGCCTTGTTCCCATTGGGCAAATATCTTGTTCCCCACTGGACAAATATCTTGTTCCCCACTGGGCTAATGCCTTGTTCCCCACTGGGCAAATGTCTTGTTCCCGACTGACCTGTAAAAGCTTGAGGTCTGTGACTGCCTTACTGTTGTGTAATGTAATTGTTAGCACTCCACCGTGACATTCGCCTTCAATGTTACCACTGCCGCCATCACCAGCTGTGTTGGAGAAACCATTTGAAAGAATGGAATTATTTAGGCTCTACTTGCTCATGCTTTAATCTACTTGTTTGTTTACCAAAGTTACAATATATGTAAAATAAAGATAAAACTTCACGTATCACGTGACTCCCTTCCAGTGGCGTAGCGAGGTCGGGTGTCACCCGGTGCGGCACTTAATGGTGTCACCCCCCCCCCCCCAGAGGCGTAGCGACCCTTCCCGGGGACAAACTTTCAAAATTTTTTATTTGCAACCCCCTCAAGTTTTCGATTTGCACCCCCCTCAAACTTTCGATTTGCACCCCCCCCCCCCTTAAATTTTTCTCTATATATTTTGCTATTTTTTGCCTTGGTATCACCCCCCTAAACGGTGTCACCCGGTGCGGTCCGCCCCCCCCGCCCCCCCCCCCTCGCTACGCCTCTGCTCCCTTCTTACCTGACGGCAAAACAGGACAATCGAAGCTGACGGCATGTCTGTTGATTGCTGTAAGACAGTAAGGTTTGACCACTGGGTTAGCAGACTTGAGGACGTGGGTAGCAAACGCTGACCCTCGAACTATTGGGACCTGCAGAATAAGATCGCCACTGGTACACCTTTGTGATCATTCAGTAGGTTTTAAACATCCACATTCTACGGTGACCTTTCAACTTTTGACATTCAAAATAATTTTGAGATGGTCTGTAGTTGTTAGAGTGATTGAAAACGTTTTAAAAAGTGTCGTTTTCGTTTAAATAATAGAACACCTCACGCAATAAAGTGTCAGGTATTATCCTAGTGTTCTAGGTTTAAATAATAGAACACCTCACGCAATAAAGTGTCAGGTATTATCCGAGTGTTCTTGGATGGACATTTCTTTGCTTCATCCCTAAATTTCTCATAAAAATAAGAAAAAAAAAACGTTTTACCTCCATGGTTCCAGTTGTCCCATGATAGAGAAAATTGGCGTACAACTCCCCGAAAGATGTCAGTGTTGGCTCCGTGGAGCCTGCGATATCAACTTGCACTCCTGATTTGCCTGGAAATAAATAAATCTATTACAAGTAGGCTTCTACACCATTTTACTGCTTTTGTACGGGGTGCATCTATGTACAGCTTTTTTTTAAAGGAGATTCTCGGAGGGGTAAAGGCACACAGTTAAAAGATAGATAAACATAAAATAGTGAATAGACAAGTACAAGAATCTAAGATAGACAAGTACAGTGTCTATACTAGACAAGTAGAAAAGCTAAGATGGACAAGTACAGTGTTTATACTAGACAAGTAGAAAAGCTAAGATGGACAAGTACAGTGTTTATACTAGACAAGTAGAAAAGCTAAGATGGACAAGTACAGCATCTATATTAGACAAGTAGAAAAGCTAAGATGGACAAGTATAGTGTTTATACTAGACAAGTACAAGAACCTAAAATGAACAAATGTAAGAGTCTAAGGTAATGATTTGGTTACTGAGAGTCTAAGGTAATGATTTGGTTACCTGAGAAAGAGTCTAAGGTAATGATTTGGTTACCTGAGAAAGAGTCTAAGGTAATGATTTGGTTACCTGAGAAAGAGTCTAAGGTAATGATTTGGTTACCTGAGAATCCTGAGAGCGGGTTCCCATCGGGCCCTGTTGTCATCTGGCGCATATTGGAGCCCATGTCATTAAGTTTGTTCCAAGGTTTTCCCTGCTCCCACGCCGACTGCTGTTCCATGAAGTCGGTTCGCTTTGGATCGTTCCAGCGATCCATTGTGTAGGCATCATGTACAGCACCATCAGGCGTTAAAAGTACTGAAATGTTCAGGATCACACACATCAGCATTCTTTTTCTGACACAACTTCTTGTGTGTGATCAAATAAAGACCACGAAATAATTATCATAATTTATTTTAAGTTAAGGATATTAAACCAAACCAAACTTGAATTAGAAGTGACAAAATTAAAACAAAATCACCATTCTCGTACCACAATAGGTCTGAGTAATGGAAGAAATAACGTAACTTTATAGGCATTATTAGTAACTCATTATTACATTGTAATCATTACATAGATCATTCATTAGAATGCTCGAACTCTCCATGAATAAAGTAATATCCTGAACAGTTTTTCAAAGGTCTCTGATAGTTCTTTTGCAAGTTTTTTTTCTTTTCAAATCTACTTTTTCTAAACTATTTATTTTTGTTTGATTAAAAGTAACCGTCTATAAAAATCCACATCGCTGATCTAGAATATTCTAGATGGTATTACAGCTTTCTCTCACCAGGAAGGTCGAGCAAAACGTTTCGAAGAGACGCTTTAATAGATTGATACATTTTATAACTAGATTTAGTATTTCATTTGGAACAGGCAAAATATTTAAGTAGTATGGAATCCCCTTTAGACCCAGCAATCTATTGTTTTTTGACAATGTCCAAAGAGGAATCCTTTTCCTTTTATGCACGTGTACATATATATGAATATATAAGTGCACACACACAAACACACAAGACATACATACATACATATATATATATATATATATATATATATATATATATATATATATATATATATATATATATATATATATATATATATATATATATATATATATATATATATATATACATATATATATATATATATATGTATGTATATATATATATATATATATATATATATATATATATATATATATATATATATATATATATGTGTGTGTGTGTGTGTATTTATACATGTTTGTATATATATAAATATATACATAAGAAAGTCTGTAATTGTAAGATCAACTTACTTTGATATGGTGTTTGTATAATTGGCCAAATGTCTTTGTTCTTGATGTGATTTGTAGCGAAGTGACCAGTAGGAAGAGGTCCATTTTGTCGCAAGTTGCCAACCCTCTGTGGAGTAGCCTTGACACCCAGCTCATGCGTGACGCCGAACAAGCTGATGGGGTCAGCATTGTCTAGAACTGTATCCTGGGCTGCATGGCAGTCGGGGGCGTTGGGCAGTACAGCCTTACACACGCCGACTAGATCTAGAGGATGGGTGGATGGATGGATGGATGGATGGGTGGATGGGTGGATGGGTGGATGGGTGGCTGGGTGGGTGGGTGGATGGATGGATGGATGGATGGATGGATGGATGGATGGATGGATGGATGGATGGATGGATGGATGGATGGATGGATGGATGGATGGATGGATGGATGGATGGATGGATGGATGGATGGATGGATGGATGGATGGATGGATGGATGGATGGATGGATGGATGGATGGATGGATGGATGGATGGATGGATGGATGGATGGATGGATGGATGGATGGATGGATGGATGGATGGATGGATGGATGGATGGATGGATGGATGGATGGATGGATGGATGGATGGATGGATGGATGGATGGATGGATGGATGGATGGATGGATGGATGGATGGATGGATGGATGGATGGATGGATGGATGGATGGATGGATGGATGGATGGATGGATGGATGGATGGATGGATGGATGGATGGATGGATGGATGGATGGATGGATGGATGGATGGATGGATGGATGGATGGATGGATGGATGGATGGAACTTACATATTACGGAAATTAAAAACGAGTTCCACATCTCACAGTTTAGAAAATAATCTGAAGCTGAAGCTTGTTAAAGCTTATCTTTGTAATTATTGAGGTCGGTGAAGTGGTAGGGCGGAGAATTTGTGAGTCACAGAAAGTATCCTAGCGTAGTTAGCATGTATTATTAATTTTATATCATCCAAATGATTAAACGTGTATTATTGCTAAAACTATAAACAATATGTGTATTCGTTATCCTTGCTTATATGGAAAAAAATTAAATAAAATTTAAACTTTTTTTTTATATTTACTTAAACGATGTTTACCGCCCCTGAAATGTAGTTCGTGTGACCTACGTTAACGTCAACCGTAATACGAAAATCTTATCACTAAACTTGCTCATGCAAAGGTTAAATGATCGTTAAACTGCAATTCTTCACACAACAAACAAACAGCCTATGACAAACTAACAAAAACGGCCATAGCAAAATAACCCCAACAAACACACCATTTTAAGATTCTGCGACAATATAACCCCGTGTAAACTGCTGCTAATAAAAAAAAGCCCCTCCCTCAAGTGACAATATAACCCCGTGTAAACTGCTGCTAATAAAAAAAAGCCCCTCCCTCAAGTGACAATATAACCCCGTGTAAACTGCTGCTAATTTTAAAAAAAAAGCCCCTCCCTCAAGTGACAATATAACCCCGTGTAAACTGCTGCTAATTTTAAAAAAAAGCCCCTCCCTCAAGTGACAATATAACCCCGTGTAAACTACTGCTAATTTAAAAAAAAGCCCCTCCCTCAAGTGACAATATAACCCCGTGTAAACTGCTGCTAATTAAAAAAAAAAGCCCCTCCCTCAAGTTGGCACGAGGCAAAATGGATCTAGTTTATTGGATTTTCTAAAAACGTAATGATTTGATTCATAATTTAACATACTCATAAAAGGCAAAGAGCTTTAAAATGAGGTCGTAGTTAAGGCCAAAAGTTCGTAGATTCTAAAACTAAATTCAACGAAAAAAAAAAAGGATAAATGGAAAAAATATCATGAGCTACCCCAGCTCATATATTTACACAAATTTTAACGAGAGTGGGGAGGGGGGATGAAAACGTCCAACCCCGAGAACGAAATACAATAATATATTCTTTTACTGGTGCGCCCCCCCCCTCCCCCGGAGAAAAAGTCAGAAAGAAACAGTGTTCATCGGGCGTTACACCAGCGATTATTCTAAGAAACGTGTGGTGATATCATTACATTTACATTTGTATCATTTTTATTGAGATTATCATCTATTTTAATACAGAGAACATTTTATAAGTGTTTGAACTTTGTTTATGTGTCCAAGTGATTTGTAACTGTAATCGGTACTGTCAACGAATAAATCAGGTTTTCCAAGGCTTGAACTGGCCATGTAAGAGGCACGGATTCCTCAAGTCTGGTCCTACGCACTAACCCAATGAAGTTTTTTATGAGGGATTCATCAACACTTTGGCAATCGTGTATTTTTAGATGTGTAAACTTTTTTTAGAGTTAATTAAAAAATGTAAACAATGTCGACACTTTTGGGATATTATTTGTTGGTGCGTTAGTTTGTCTACACTACTACCGAGACACCATAGGGTATGTTGTAAGCAAACCATCTGTTTACGTCGATCAACCTCCGAAATGGTGAAAGAAAACATCCCATAAGATGACGTCACGCTTTTTAACGGATTAAAAAAGGCAGATCCTCGGGGGTCATCCATAAATGACGTCACGCTTTTTTTGATGATTTTTACCCCCCCCCCCCCCCTCCCCTCCCTACACACATCGTCACAAAAAGCCAGACTCCTCCCCCTAAAATGACGTCACACCTCCGCCTACAACCCCCCTCAAAAATACTCAAAATTGCAGTTGATTTTTTCTTAAAACATCGATATTTTTCCAAAATCTTGTCTGAACTCTGTCGACATAGAGTAATTTAATCAACTTCTATTATAATTTATTAAAACAGTTTTCTAAAATGCAAAATAACGTCTAAAATTAGTTTTCTTACATAGCTTTTTTTAATGCAAAACTGTGACGTCGCACCATCTGACCCCCCCCCCCCCACCCCTCCCCCTCTTCATACACACTCACAAAATTACGGACCCCCCTCCACCCTAAGAGTGTGACGTCATTTACGGACGACCCCTCGCTCCTAAATGAACTCATTTGTTTATGTAATTGACTATAAATAATGTTCAATTTATTTATTTACAAATTAATAACATTTTAAAATAATATAAAGGATATAGTTTTACCTTCCTTCTTTTGTGAATTAGATTCAGCAAAAACATGCTATGCAAGTAAATTAATATATGGTGGCTAGTGTCTTACAAAATATGCCTAAGTGCTGAATGTATAGTTCATAAACGATTCATTTATCTGTTTGATACTTGTGAGGATGGGGGATGGGGATGAACTTAAAAGGGACTCCAAAGCACTGACATACGTCATCGTCAATAGTGTCGAATTCGGGATGGTTGTCTACATATCTATAGCGGTCTCTCCAGCTATGATAGGCTATGGGCATCAATTTTTTTCCAAAGAAATATATATATATATATATATATATATATATATATATATATATATATATATATATATATATATATATATATATATATATATATATATATATATATATATATATATATACTTTCACCAGTGTCCGCCCCCCCCCTCCCAGAAAATGTTGACCGCCTCCACCTCGAAAACATCAAGTACCCCCCCCCCCGCCCCCCCCCCCCCCCCCCCCGCCCGGAGAAAAAGTCTGAAAGAAAAACTGCCCGGCATATGAAGGAATGCTGTAGACAGGGCTATGCCTAGCCGCTTTTACTCTAACGTGAGTCAGATACCCATCAGAGCTGGGTGGGCTCAGTGGCGGTCTACTGACTTGAACCCGGATTCGAACTCGAGACTTACTGTTAGCAGGTTAGCTATCTACCGATAGGCCACTCCATCCCTAACTCTGAAGTTTAGTACTAAATTATTCAGTCAAAGTTAAAAAAAAAGATAAAAAGACTGCCGCTACGCGTTACACACTGATTTAACCGGATTATATTATTATACATCAACGAGCTGATCCGCAGCCGTTTACAGACAAAGATCAATCCTCTCAATCCCCCCGCCCCCACTCCTCTCCCCCCCCCCCCTTCCCCCCGGCTCCGTGAAAACAACCGTCTGTGACTACAGTTTACAGGCGACAATGAGAAGATCAATCAGAAATTGTTACCTCCCCTTCGCTTCAAATCGTTTAATACTAAATTAACTTCCCCTAACAGCCGTCACTAACCCGGCTCTACGATTGTAAACATTCGGGGTGAACCACAGCTCACCTGACAGGTGGGGATGAGGGTGGTGGCTTAGCTGCGTGGTGTTTTCTATGGTCTCCATGATGAGAATTATATATATATATATATATATATATATATATATATATATATATATATATATATATATATATATATATATTGATTGATTGATTGAGTGTAGTGGCGTCGTTAGGTTGGGTGTCACCCGGTGCGGCACTTCGTTGTTTAACCCTTCCCCCCCAAAAATGTCAAAGTATATATATATATATATATATATATATATATATATATATATATATATATATATATATATATATATATATATATATATATAAATGTGTGACAATGAGTGTGTATGAGTGTATATGTGTATACGCTTTAATCACAGCCAACTTAATAGTAACGATGTTTATCTTTAGTCAGTTAATAATACAGTTGGATGTAGCATTGTTTTCTCTATAGTTAGCAACGTTTACGTCATGATGTCACCCCCACCCTCTTGTAATAATTGTCAATTTGTACTTAAAAGTCTATTTAAATTTAATTAATCATTAATGGAACTGGCAAAAAGCATTTTTCTTCTGTACTTTTTGCAATTTTTTTTCCTTGGTCCGCACCCCTCACCCACCCTCGCTACGTCTCTGATTGAGTGACACCAACATCAAAACGTATAAATGAACATGGTTGTTCCCCGTCGTTTGGGAGAGAGAAACGAAACATGAACAGCTTATTGTGCATGTGCGTTTATTTCGTCAACGCGCGAAAACATCTGGCATTATTAATTTGCGCGTTTCTGTGAGGATGAAAAGTTTTTGTTTTGGGCCGGGACTATTTTCTACTGCTACTGATTGAGATGCGTCATTTCCGAAATTTTTAAAAAGTAAACATGAAAAATGAAAACTCTGACATCAGATCTTGATCTAGTCTAGATTCTACATCTTATATGCCTACATAATTATACTTAACTAGATTCTAGGGTAAAATCTTAGTTTAGCGTCGTAAATTCGGCCAAAACTAGTAATGTGGGAGAGAGTGAATTAATGAATATGTCATTAAATATGAGTATATTTTCGTATATTTTGATAAAATATTATAGACAATTGAATAATAGATCACCATTTATGATTAAATCAATTTAAATATCCTGAAATTAATTTTTATCAACCCTGTTCGAGATAGTAAATTTGCTATTAAAAACAGCAGCCATCTTAAGAAAATGTTATTGAGAGTAGCTTCCCTTTCATTTCTATTCGTATGAAAATGTATTTAAATATGATCATCTTGTTGTATTACAAAGCATTTTTTTTTTTAAATGTGAATTTCCTAACAAACAACTTTATTAATTCTATTAGCATTGTGAGATGCAACTTGTATCCATGTATTAAATCACGTTTTTTTACTAATGTTTATTTGATCTTACTATTACTATTGAGTTTTTTCTTATTGTTTGAATGTTCACTATTTTCATATCAGGTTTTTCTTTTCATCAATTAGTAATTCTATCATAACTTATGAAATTTTTTTTTTTACTTCTCTTTACCCTAATTAAACACCAACCTCCGTCATATTTTTGTCGTCAATGTCACAACAAGTCATAATGTAAAAAATTACGCTTCACTCTGCCTTATCTAAGATCTCTAACCATAATTTTGACAGCATTAAATGTTTGTCATCATTTATATATACAGAGAGACAAAATGTATTATCCACCAGCTTCCCTCGTAATACATCATCTAAAACAATGAGCCAGTCCACCCCTTAAGTGCATGTTGTCATTATGGTCGATCGCAAGTCTCCACCTGCCAGA